GTTCAATACTAAAAGTTCCCTGGACAGCGCGCTGTAACACTGCAGACCAGGTGCAATAGGAGTCGGGTTAACGGAACGGCTTAATCTGACCTATGCAGTGCAGACATGCAGACTCGTGTCCAAAAAATGGCAACTGCACGTCACCCCAAAACGATAAATTTGCCACAAGGAAGGATATGCACACGCGGGAGAGCCACTCAATGGTTCCGTACGTCGCGCTATAAAAGCTCGTCATCCAACAATGCCGCGAATAACGGAAGATCGTGTCGCTGATTGAGAGCGGTCGGGTTGAGCACAAGCTGCTTAGCCGCGCATTTTAAAGACATCTGACGACCCGCATGCGGTTTTCCCACGCGTGATTATATGAACGGACGCCACGAGGACGGCACGGCGGACCATCAGCGAGACGTCAGGCAAAAAATCTCCAGATAATGGCAGTTCTACGGACGCTGTCGAAGCCCTGTGAGAAACCCATCTTGATCACAATCATGCCATGACGTGATACTGAGACGAAGCACGCTTATAATGCAGTGTAACTTAAGGGTGCCGTTACCTGGCATTCGGAGGACGTGAATGGCTGTAAAACATGTTATTTGCCAGAGCAATGCATATTATCTTTTATGGTGACTTCTTTTTTGAAGACTTCATGGTCACACAACTTCACAGGTCAGTCCGCACGCATGCGACACTGCTAGTCCACGCCATCGAATACGCAAAGCCAGCGAGTGGCGGCGTCAGCGAGCTCTGACCCCTTGTGCTCCGCAGTGGCCACGCGTCCTTCCGCCTGGTAAACGCACGCAATATGAGCTAGCCCTGAAAATGCAAACTTCTTTCTGTGTGGCGTACAGTTCATCCATCCAAATACTCTCGTGACGTCCATAAGGCTTGCTGCTGCCACCTGTACAAATCCTTGTGCTTAAGGCCATGTAGAGCCTTGTAAACCAGGGCGTAGCCACAAGGGGAAGGGTGGGGGGGGGGGGGGGGGGGAGCTATGGAGAAAATGGCCTTCCAGTTTTCAGTAATGTGATTTTGTCCATTTCCATTTAACTCGTAACCTGCATGTTTCTCATGCTTGGCACTCAAAATGCCGCTTTCAAGTCAGGTTGACCACCCAGATTCCGGTTGACACATCCAACCCTGATTTATCCCTCCCCAATCTCAGACATGGTTATACCAGGGGCGCAGTCAGAGCCTTGGTGAGCGAGGGAGGCCACGCAGAGCGGACAAAGGGTCACTGATGGTGAAGATGTCTGCAACAAAATCACAGAATATAGCTCACTCGGCTTCCAGAGGGCACTATATTCTTCATTTTATTTTCATTTTTACTTTAATTGGAGCAGAAGCCTAAAACCACCGGAAGATGCAATTCTTTCTCATATTTTTTCTATATTTTGCATCTTTTTTGTGTCTGAAGTCAATAGTGTTTTAGTTATAGTAAAGTGGGTTTTTTTTCTAAAGCGACGGTACTGAGGGGCTTTGCCATCATTTTTTCTGGCTTCTTCAGAAGTATCAAGGGTTCCGTGAACCTAGATTGTTCATTAAAAGGGGTCAAACATTTTTCTTTACATGGCCAACCCATGTCCGTCCTGGGAGCGGCCGATTGTCTTAAGAATGGAGCAGTGAAAACAACTAAAGCAAAGTTTTAATATGCGCGCCCGTAAGTCTTCGAACCAAAAATTCCAACGCCCGGCGTTGTAGTCTCCGTAGGCCACTGGGCGTCGGCCTCGCAACTAACATTTGGTGGTCTGAAAGAGGTGCCTTAAGAGGAAAAAAAGAGGAAAGCGTACGGGGCCAAGTCGGAGGAGCTCGTTGCATGCTTCGTCATCAGTCCGTTCCTGAAATGATCACTTCAAACTCGTGTTTTCCTTGGTCATTTCTGGAGCCGTTGGGTAGCCAGGGGCCGGCAGGCTGGCGAAAGGCTTAAGGCCATGAGTCCAAGGGATTTTCCCAAATGTTTGATGGAATGTTCCACATTTGAAGGAAAGGAAACAATCATTGTATATGATGACAAAGGCTCACTTTAGCTATTGGAGTACTTTGAAGTGAAAAACACTGCTCCTAGAAAACAACACTTCTCTGTTTAGTAAAGCTGCTCCTCAATACGTTATTGTTTGATTGCGTCATGAAACGTTTTCATGACAGCACCAACTTGTAGTTCTTCAGCCTCCCAAGAGGTGGCCCGCGGCGGCGCTGATTGTGTGCTCAGCCAAATATCGTTAGCTGTTCGTGTTTTGGCCCCTTCTCGTGGTGTTTTTGCACGTCTATCCGTGAGTTTAAGGCGCTCAATAGTTTTCACACGCTCGGTTATAGCGCTATCCTTAGGTCATTAACAGTTCTTAATTTCGTACTAACTTGGAAGAATCTATAACCTCTTGTATTACTTACCACACAACATAATGGCCTTATTGCTACAGCCAGCTGGGCGTGTCATAATTTGGGCATAGCTAGCACAACGTTGATTGGAAGACAATTAATGACCGTTACATCTGAAACTTGCATTCACGAACACAACATATGAAGGACTTGACAATTTAATATTTTCGTAACCGTGATCTCCGCATGAGCGGTGGAATGGGAGATATTGAATGACGTGTAACAAGGCTCATGGAAACATCGGTAACCTCGATATAGTCAGCGCGAGATAGTTTGATCACGACTGCGGAGATGAAACGTAATGCTGTTACAAAGCGTCGTTAGAGTAATTTGGAGCCGGAACTAATTGAAGTTGAGATCTTTATGATTTCTTGAAGGTGCTGCAGCGGCCATACCCAGTGCTATTATTAGACATAACTAGTCATGAGGTTTCACTAGAAAGTGGATTTTGTAGTCTGCCCTGAAGGTAGGACACTTCCGTTTAGGACAGGACTGTGTACTGCACCACATGATCTCCACGCTGGCTATTTCAGTTCAAAACCTCATCCAAATGTGGAACATTCCCTTCAAAGAGAGCTCCACTCTCGCTCCACATTCTAGCCTATCCTGAACCTCACCTGACCTGAGGGATGTTAAGACAGCCTGAGCGCCATCCACATCCCTCTACGCTCCCAGATCAGCAGGTGTCCTTAGTGAGACTTGTACTGGGTGTACTCCACATGCAGTAGGAGTCGACCCGAAGATGAACCTGATTCTATGAGAATCAAAAGGAAGGAATCGCTGCCGACTAAAAGTTGGTTTGTGCTGCACAGAGTCAGAGACATCGAGACCAACCCAATGTTCTGGGACCTGCAGTAGGAGTCGACCGACAAAACTTGCACCACACTCGCGCACGATTCCAGGGCCATTCCTCATCATGCTGCGAGACAAATGTGTGCTGAAAGGTCGGAGAGGAATGTGGAGACATGGGACGACGCACACACTCAAGAGCCAGTGACTTCAGACTAGTGTCTGAATCAACAGCAACACTCGCTAGTCAAAGTTACAATTTGATTTGGCCATTTATTTAATCGAGAATACACACATATGTGAAATCACACAATTTTATTTAGTTGGTGCTTTAAGACCGGTAAAAATCAACCGAAACACGACGGACACGCCCGTCAACTGAAATCAGCGTCATTCTAACACTCGCGCCTACCTAAGGGTAAGCATTTTATAGCACAATGTATCTGATCACTACGACGTATCATGCAAGCCGTCAGTCATCAATTTCAAAGGCTGATTTCAGCCTCCGGGCAGGTCCAGGCTATCGCCTAGCACGATAAGTGGTCAGTTGACATGGCAGTCGTCAGGTTCAGGAACACATTCCTCTCGGACAACGAAGCGGAGGCGGGTTGACGGGCCTCCGGCCTGGCCAGATCTAGGACATGGCAGACGCCGGCTAGCGCCCAGACCACTCCAGGTTATCCCATCATGTGGATGGGTTAGTCGAAGTACTCTATAACAAGAGGCGGGACTGACGCTTAAACGGCTAGCGCGCCGTGAAACGCATTCGCTGCGTCATGACGACGGTAAGCTCAAGCTGATATGAACAACACGGGTCAGACTGTATAAAATATACAAGCACAAGTCAGTGTAAAAATCGAAACTCTTTCCAATAGCTAACATGGCAACCTGCCTACGTTTTCTAAAACCCTGCTCTCTGTTCACCCGCTATTGGGCAACAGCTGACTAGGAATTACGCGATACGAATTGTGGTGACAAGTGGGAAAATAACACTCATTGACAGACAGGCAATTTTAGGCCACGTTTCCCTTTTCGACACGAAATACGCGGGCCGTTTCAGATGGCCAGTGGTACACGGCTGCGATGGGCTGCAGGCACCAAAGCAACCATGTTTATCATTTAAGCGCAGGAAAGCGCGTACAGGATAATGCAACCTGTTGGCCTTAACTTCTCAAACAACTCAGATAATATCAACGCATACGTGTTACTTCGAACAATACTGGTTGATTTAGGAATCTACCAAATAAACGAGCGAAGAAGCAACTTACATGGACGCTTCAAATGCAGCGCGCGCTGCACGTTGGTCACGCCATTTGAGACCACTGCACAGTATTTACACATTCAGTGCGGGCTTCCTCTACCTCCAGCTTTCCCTCGACTCCCTCAGGCGGCTCATCCCGCTCAGACCAGAATCAGACCAGGCCCCCGCCAGCCTCGGCCTGGCTCGCCGCTGGGCCTGACGTCCGAGCCTGGCGGCCGCGCGCGGCCCAGCCAGCTCGGTGCGCTGCGCCTGCAGCCGGCCCCGGCCCAGCCGACGCCTGGGGGCGCCGACCCCGCACAAACCCTGGGTCCGCCCGCGCGCAGCGCACAGCGCTCGTCCCGGCAGTGTCAGAGCAGCTTTTGATTGAGACGGGAGGGCGCAGCGCGTCGCTGGCGGCGACGGTTGAGCTGCCACGGGCCGAGCCGCGCGGCCCCTCCGGCCGGCGGCGCGGTCCCAGCCGCTGCCGGCGGCGCGCATGCGCAGGCTCACGCCGCTCACGAGGTCATCACGAGATCAGCGGGCGCGGCGGCCCAGCGGCGCCGACCGTACGACCGTCTCACGGCCAGGCAGCGGCGGTGGGCGCAGGACGCGGCCCGCTCGCCGCGCCCTCTAGCCGTCGGCGTCGCCCGGCGGGTCCAGCGCCGTGTGCAGGGTCACCGACACGTTTCTGTTGAGGCTCACCGCCGGGTAGAAGGTGCCCTGCAGGCCACCGAAGTCAATCCGGCCCTGTGGCAGCAGACGGCAGCGATAAGCTGGCGCTGCGGCCGGTCAGGACTCAAGACATGGGAACAGGACCGCCGCGCGCGAGCAGGACATCCCATCGCCATCACACCTACTTAGTGACGTTTGTCTAGATGGCGCCGCGATCGCTCCACCAAGCCCAGCCCCGTCCTCATGGCCACATCGCACGCCTCCAAGCAACTGACCATTCCGCCCTACCTGAATGACGTCATTGACGTAGAAGGTGAGCTTCTGCGTGGTCAGGTTGAGCAGCACGCCCACCGTGTCGCCGGCCTTGATGCCGCCCTCCGCTCGCCCCGAGTGGATGTCCTGGTGCATCAGCCACGACCGCTTGCCGTCGATGTACATGCTCCAGCCCTTGTTGTCCTTGCCTGAAACACAACCCCGGACCGCTCATTGGAGCGGCGGCGACTACACTGGTGACGCACCAGGTGCAGCTGGAAAGTTAACCGTCTGTGGCAGAGCTGCCGATTGCACTTCAAGTTTTTGGAATTCCAAATGTTAGGTCCGATTTGGAAAGGGGAGAGACAGGGGAAAAACTTTGTTTTCTTTGGACAGCCGACATCATTCTGTCTTGTCTGAATCGTAGAAATCGTCACGAAAGCCAGTGGTGCACTAACTTGCCCACAATTAATTTCTTTCTTTCCATGCGATTCAAGTGGGGGGATGCAGCGATGCAGGTAGTGACTGGGTTTATTGGTTACAGGCAGTAATTATTCGATATTTTGCAGCAGTCGGAAACCATTAGACAGTCTGATATTTTGAACACTTTTTGGACGGGCAGCTGGTCGATCCTGAGACTCGGGATTGTACCTTGGACGAGAACTTCCCACAAAGCGGTACCTCTGGTTTGTACGCACTGCGCTGATCTCCATGGAGTTTCCAAAACCAGACAAATTATGCAGAACTAGCATTGGTATCTTTACATTAGAGGCGTAGGCTAAAAGAAACACATGCTTGAGACAGATCAATATATAAAAATGTGCATCGATTGAATACGCCCTAGTCACTACCTCGCTTACAGAATGGAAGGAGAATACCATTAAAATGGCATTAACTCTCAGAAACTTTCCATTCACCTGGCACAGCATCCTGCTGGCACCGAGCCAACTCTCACCTAGCATGGCGTCCCGGCTGACGCCGGCTCGCGCCATGCCGAAGGCCGGATCAGCGTTGCCCTCGAACTTGTCGACGGAGAACTCCCAATAGTGGACGCCGCGGGCGAAGCCCACTGACCCAAGCGCCAGGCGGCTCTCGAAGCTGTCACAGGTGGCGCTGCAGTCGCCGCGACTCAGCACGATGTCTCGGTGCCGTCCGCTCGGGTCGAAGGTGAACCACGCCACTGCCACCGGGTCGACCGGGGTCAGAAGGGGTCACCCGTAACACCAAGCGGTCACAGATGGCACAGGGTCACGTAGCACAGCCGTATAGCATGCACGGTTCCGTTCCGCGGAGTCGTTTCGCGAGGTGGACGGTCACAAAGACATGCGGGACAAGCTGATTCGCCTGTCAGTGACGAGGAAACGTGCAGCTTGTGGGCGCCAGTCTCCGATAGGTTGGGACAGGGGCTCGCAATGTGTGAAAGTTCCCAAAGCGCTTTATTCCGGGGAATAAACACCATATATGCCACCAATATGAAGAACGATGTTGATAGGTTTTCCACACCCTAAAAGCTGATCTTAATTCGCTCAAAGAATAAACTTTGTGTATCAGTTACAGTGCTTGCAGATGTTTAGAGCCCAATGAATTTTCAGTGGAATTGATTTCGATGCCGTTTGAAGGAAAGGAAACACCTCGCTTGACTACGTCACACGTTTCTGGACGCGTTCATTCGAACTGTTGGCATTTCTGTGCTGTCAAAAACCAGATAGATAAGCACGGTCAAAACGCAGCACTTGCGTGAGCAAATATTCCCTATCGTGCCGAAGTCCTAAAGACGCCCAGCTGAAACCTGCAGCTGCACACTGACCACTGCCTGAGCCACCGTCTATAACGACGCCCGTTATCGAGCGAGCCTCGCAAAAACACGGATCATCCCTGGACCGCGCCGGAATCGGCCTCTCGACCGCGCCGGAATCGGCCTGAGAATCGACTCGTGTTCCAGACGACCTCTCGACGCACCGGAATCGGTCTGAGAATCGAATCGTGTTCCAGACGATCTCTCAACCGCACCTGAATCGGCCTCTCGACCGCGCCGGAATCGGCCTGAGAATCGACTTGTGTTCTAGACGACCTCTCGACCGCACCGGAATCGGCCTGAGAAACGACTCGTGTTCCAGACCACCTCCCGACCGCGCCGGAATCGCCCTCTCGACCGCGCCGGAATCGGCCTGAGAAACGATTCGTGTTTCAGACGACCTCTCGACCGCACCAGATTCGGCCTGAGAATCGACTCGTGGCTCCGACGACCGCCTAGTGAAGCGGTAGGAACAGTGAGCGGCATACAGCAGATGAAGGCGTGACTTTCCCCGACTCTGGCCACGACGGGAGGACGGCACTCTCCAACATTACCATTCGAATGGGAGAGATGTGTTGATTGCGGGCGGTGACGGGGTGGCATTGCTTGCAGAGCAATTTACATATGAGACGCGTCGACCGTCGCTAATGGCCGCGACGATTACGACAGTCATAATGACGATTTCACTTTAGAGAGCGGAGGCCTTCAACCATGTCTACGACGAGAAGACAAAAGGGGAAAATACTTCCAGAAAACCTGGGCCGTTCACGCATTTCGTGTGTCGACTAACCGTTTCCTGACGGAAATTGCTCAGAAATCAATACAGCGGACGGTTCAATGTGTCGGAAATCGTCACTTTTTGCTAGCGAGCAGCAAAGCCTCTGCCCATGTGCACACAGGGGCGTGAACAGGATTTCAAAAGTGGAGGAGGCACAACCCAAAATGGCTGACTAAAACACTATTTTAGCCCTCCGCAGGAGCGCGAATTTCTTGCACAGCGTATAACAACAGCGCATGTTTTCAATCTGCTTTACTTTTTATTTGTACCGTGAATAATTGTCAGCCTACGCTCACATGTATTCAATTGATATCAAAAGCTTGACAGGGGCTCCCGGTCCCCTTGTGGCGTTCGACCGGTGCATATTGTATATGCACTGGCATAACGTCACAGCGTTTATACAACATGCCTGCATGATAACAGAGTTAAGCTGCGATGATCTTGGAAATTACCGCCATGGCAGCATATGCCCTGTAAATGTGAGCTGTTTGAATAATCCATATATTTTCATAGATCCCAACCAATTTCCACATGACTTAAATCCAGTATCATTTCTCTGGTCTGGTGCACATAGCCCCCCTCCTGTTGAAAGCAATCCAGACTGGAATCCCTCCATTTTATCGCACGGCAGCGAAGACAAAGCCACCCGCTATGGCCGCCAGGATTTGTCTCTGCAAGCCCTCACCCAGCACCGCACGCTGCTGGCATTACGGAAGAACCAAGTGGGCACGGACGGCAAATACGTCTCAGCAAATTGCGGAGACACTGGTCCGTCTCAGCTTTCCCGTACTGCCTCTGGGTGAGCGGACTACTGAACACCCGGCTTGCCGAGATATACATGACTAGCCCACGACTCCATCAGCCCACCGCGTCAGCGCATGCAGCCCGGTGCGCGATCAGCACCGCGTCGCTGCCCGCATATTTCTCCCGGGGCCTGACCCGTCTGTTGGCTGCATAATGCCGTCCGTGTGTGGCGAGAAATGGCCCTGCCCGCGGCGCGTGCCCTTCGCAGAGGCCTCCCGCTAGGCCCGCGACATGCCCGCTCCATCTGACCGGTGCCGGCACGTGGCGGCGGCCGCCCGCCGGCCGGCATCATCAATACGGATCTCTCCGAGCGACGCGGCCCTGCCCCGCTCATCTGCATGCCGCTCCGCGCGCACAATCTGCTCCTATTTGCCGGATTGCTTTATTGGGCGCGCACGACGGCGTCCGAGCGGCAGCGAGGGCGGGCCGCGCGGGCCGTGCTCCCAGCCCGGCGCGCGCGTGCCAGAACGGCCTTTGTTTCGGGCATGTTTTTATCCCGCCCGCCACGAAATGATGCTCGGTTTTGCCGCTTTCCACTTCTTGCAAGCCGTCCTTTCAACGCTTGCGTTTCGCGTTTTTGTCACTCGTTCCTCGTGAGTACCATCTGTATCAGGCGGAAGATAATGTGTTAATATCCTGCCGTGTCTATCTTTAACACTGTTAGCTGCAGCCTTTCCTCTCCGCCATTTGTGTATTTTCATTTTCTCCTTCCCACTATTCCACTACACTTTCCTGTCCCCCTCTGCACGGCTCCCCTCTCCGCCAGGCCCGGTCCCCGCTCGTGCCCATTTGCTCCCCTCCACCCCTGGTCAGAGGCCCGGCAGGCCGGCGCCTCGCGCTATTCACAGCACCAATCGTAATTGCCCGTCGCCGGCGGCCGGACGGTCGGCCCGGCCTGCGGTGAAGGCTGACTGAATAGCCCGGCAAACGCCGCGGAATGGCGTCCACCCGTGGAGAGCCTCTCCACATCCACACGCCGCCGGGGGACGCAGAGAACCACCCGGACCACCGTCACACGGCACGGGAAGCCGTCCACACACCACAGTGTAGACCGCATGTTTCACCCCCAGCCTGATCAAGACCAGCGTGGTGCCCACGCATCACCAGGGCACCACACGTGCCACCACGACCCCTGCTACAGGCTACAGGACCGGTCTGGTGTCAGGGCTCCTCGCGCAGCGTCTTTGTTCGTATCCACACCGCAAAGCGACGCTGTGGGCGTAGCGGGCACGGTGCCGTCCCACGAGCTTTGCGTTCTGAAGCGCCCACGTATGTCCTCCTTGCAAGTGCTGATAAATGATAAGTCACCTTTCTTTGGCTCTCCATCAACAAAGGTTATCGTCCCTGTTGCTTTAAATGGACGTCGTCTGAGGCTGAAGACGAGCACAGGCTTCAGAGAGTGTCAGCAAAACACTGATGCCGAAAATATTGACCGGACACACAGAACGTTTATCCTGACTCACATCCAATACACGGATCGGAATTTGTCATCCGCTGTCTCAGAAATTGAGATCAACACAAAGCGTTTTCCGACCGGTCCGTTTCCGAAGACCACTCGCAATTCCTGGTTTTCCATCAGTTAGCTTTTCGTTTTTAGTCCTGCCCTACGTTTGCTTCTCAGTCTACTACACTGCTAGAGACAGTGGACCGATCCTTTCGAGGCTGTGCGGGCTAACCAGCCCAAAACATTGGTGAAGATACGAACCCGGCAGTGTAAAACCAGAAGCATCAAGCCGTGTAATAGCCACACAGCAATCAGTTTCATCCAGCGCCCGTAATTCGTGTCTGAATACTGAGCAGCGATCGTCGCGATCGCGTGTCCTCTGATCGGTGCGCTCTGTTCTGCGCGTGCCCGAGTCATGCGGATGCTACGCTGCTAACGCGAATACGCAGCCTTACCTGCTGCCATGTACACTTCGCACACCAAAGATTTCACATGCACTTGTTGCTGAATAAGATGTCACCGAAAGTGACTGCTCACGGCTGGTGGCTCGATCCCAGCTCAGTCTCGTGCAACTGAATTGATAGCTTTCAAATGCAGCCTCACAGGAACGTGACAATATGCGGGTGAGATGACCTGCTGGCTTCGCGCACATTGTACTTGGGTGCTTTCATGACGAGCAACCGGCGCCTGATAGCCAAACTAGTGGAAGAAACTGTGTATCCAAACATGATGTTTCACGTTGCAAGAACACTCTACTCTCAACGGCCGTCTTTTGGTAACCGTAACAATAGAGCACGAATGGTCTTTAAATAACAAGAAGCCAAATAAACATCGCAACATTGTTGAGACCTATTGCGGAACAAGGTAATAATGCCGCAGGCCACTTCTAACTGACCGCACGGCGAAAGACCACTCGAGGAAGCAACTCCACCGGACATCCGACACCTGCCACGCGAGGGAGCAACTCCAACGGACATCCGACACCTGCCACGCGAGGGAGCAACTCCACCAGACACTCCGATACCTGCCACACAAGAGAGCAACTCCAACGGACACCTCGATACCTGCCACGCGAGGAAGCAACTCCAACGGACACCCCGATACCTGCCACGCGAGAGAGCAACTCCAACGGACATCCAACACCTGCCACGCGAGGGAGCAACTCCAACGAACACCCCGATACCTGCCACGAGAGAGCAACTCCAACGGACACCCCGATACCTGCCACGCGAGGAAGCAACTCCAACAGACACCCCGATACCTGCCACACGTGGGAGAAACTCCAACGGACACCTCGATACCTGCCACGCGAGGAAGCAACTCCAACGGACACCCCGATACCTGCCACGCGAGAGAGCAACTCCAACGGACATCCGACACCTGCCACGCGAGGGAGCAACTCCAACGGACACCCCGATACCTGCCACGCGAGAGAGCAACTCCAACGGACACCCCGATACCTGCCATACGAGGGAGCAACTCCAACGGACACCCCGATACCTGCCACGCGAGAGAGTAACTCCAACGGACACCCCGATACCTGCCACACGAGGGAGCAACTCCAATGGACACCCGATACCTGCCACGCGAGAGAGCAACTCCAACGGACACCCCGATACCTGCCACACGAGGGAGCAACTCCAACGGACACCCCGATACGCGCCACGCGAGAGAGCAACTCCAACGGACACCCGACACCTGCCACGCAAGGGAGCAACTCCAACGGACACCCCGACACCTGCCACACGAGGGAGCAACTCCAACGGACACCCCGATACCTGCCACACGAGGGAGCAACTCCAACGGACACTCCGATACCTGCCACACGAGGGAGCAACTCCAACGGACATCCGACACCTGCCACGCGAGGGAGCAACTCCAACGGACACCCCGACACCTGCACGCAGGGGAGCAACTCCAACGGACACTCCGATACCTGCCACACGAGGGAGCAACTCCAACGGACACCCCGATACGTGCCACGCGAGGGAGCAACTCCAACGGACATCCGACACCTGTTGTCTAGCATATTGCCTCATTACGTAGGCGCACCTCTCGTGCCAGACATGTGCTGGACTCATATGCCAACCCATACACATCCCGAGGTGCCACGAGGCACAACGAGGCTCAATTAAGTGGCAACAAAGCAGTTATTCGGGCCCGGCGAGCCTGTGAGCGGACCCAAAGCAGTCAGCACAGTCCTACACAAGAAGGTAATTTCAGTATCTCAATGCGTCTCCTCTGTTTTGCTTCGCGAAGCAAGTTTGCAAACCAACAAAACAAGAGAGACCAGCCGTACACGGTAATTCTAGTTCGGAATGCGTGTGAGCTGGATGAAATATCTCGCATCCAACAAATAAGTGAATAAAAAATCAAATAGCAATCACTCTGTATTCAACAAGAACACTGGCAAGCACTCTGGAATACATATTTTGGAGGACAGCGTAATCGTCCGCTTATGCGGTGGTGCTGTCCACCACTCCTTGCAAAGGGTCTGTGGTGCTGGTGAGAGCGGTTTTCTGCCGATGTCGCAGATTTGGACATTCTTCGAGCTCGGACCGGCTAGACCCAGTCCAAAGCTGAAGCCGGCATAAGATCGAAATGTCAGCCAGCATAGACTTTATCAGGTCCGACGGTTTTACTTGTCAACAGCAGGTCATATGTAACACAACAATCATGTGTAGAAAAAATAAATCAAACCTTGCAATCTTGGGTTTCCTTCTTGGGTGCCTGGATAAATCATCATTCCTTTTTAGACAGCAAATTGGTTATTGCAAGCAGGCAACACTGCATGCAACATACAGGCGGCTATTTCGTCGAAGGGATATTCCAATATCAATTGCAGAGAACTCGCATATGCTCCCAAGAATGTCCGACGGTAGGCACCTCTAGTATATGCCTTGCCTGCATTCATTACATATTTTCTAGCATGATGTGTGTGACGCTTCCGCATGATGGTGTACTTGTTGTGACTGGATCGTTCGCAGGTGGGCGCCACGAGACAGCGCTGCTCCTGAAGGTCTCGACATTCTGGCCACGGAACCAGATCAGGCTTACTCTCAGATCCTGGCTTAAATACATGCGTGCTCCCGTTGGCTGGCAACTAGTGCATTGTCCTAGTGCTGGATGTCCAGGGTTTGAAACGCCAACTGGCGCCTGGTCACAGTCTTCGCGAGCAAGAGCTGGCCTGTGATATAAGTAAGAGTCCCTAGTCTAACTTCCTCAGACTGGCATCACGCCCGAACGAAAGAAAGATTTTCCTCCCTGCCATGCGCTGGTTGACGTTAGCACAATTATTTGTGTTCATCACCCAGCATTCATAGCGGATCTATCCACGGGCTTTGCCGCAGTTTGATATCATAATCAAGCATACAGGCACACCACACAAAACCAACCGCACCAGCTCACGTTCCCTCCACAGAGCACCACCCTCCTCCACCCATGCACATCAACACACGCAGTACATATTCTCCGCACACAACCGCGTAACAAAACCCTCACACGGCGCGCGCTTGCGGCACCGATCCCGACCCTGGCAGAGGCGCCGCCTGACCCGCACCGCCGCCCGGCCGGCGCCTTACCGTCGGTGGTCTTCAGACAGAGGGCGTCGCTGGGCGGCCCGTCGCCAGAGCTGTTGTAGCCCTTGACGCGGCACGTGTAGCGTGTGTTGAAGTGCAGCCCGCTGATGCGACACGGCGTCTCGCGGCCGCAGTAGGCGTCCTGCAAGCGCACGTGGCACGTGTGTCAGAGCGCCGCCGCGTCGGCATGTCGGACGACACGTCGGCATGCAGTCGGCGTGCGATCCGACGGGGGCCGGCGCGGTGCGGACACGTGCGGCCCCCACCGGTCGAGCGCACACAGGCGCCTGGTCCACAGACGGACCTCGCAGAGAGGCGCAGTCGCACAGATCACGCGCAGCCAGACAGTCAGACCACCTCATCTGAAGACGCATTTATTCGGACGGCGAGGAAGAGCAAGCTGACGAGACAGTGAGCGCCACTCCACACGCGATATGTCTCCAGGATTTACGTCTCTGATTAGAAACTGAGACCATGAATTTCAACAAAATATCAGGTAACAGGCATTTTATACCTGAAATACCTCAACATCTGCCGCAGATGCATGTGACTGCTTCTTTTGCACGTATATACGACAAAATATATATTAGAATCAACCAGTGACAATGGATGGTCGCACATGTCAAATGTCGTCAGCCGACGGACAGCGAGCGGACAATTTCACAATATTCCTCGCTCTCAAAGTACGTCGAAGGTATCACGTAACTGACTAGTTACTGGAGCGCATCGACACGTTCAATTTAAAAATATGCCGTCGCAAGGTGAGCAAGCTATTGGATACCCAAATCCAGCTCGCCACGTCGCGTTCCCGATCATCTTGTTTTCCGTCACCATCGTTTATTGCCGCAGCTGAGCGTGAGCCCTCCATAAACACTCGCAAACGCAAATAGTGCACGACAAACAAGCTCATCACTGGCCGCCCAGCCGCGCGGCTTTCGTCGCTACGTCTGCTTCATGCCACACATACGTCAGCAGTGACGACATCGCGTATGGACACGGGCCGGCCAGCCCCTGCTGAAGTCATTCGTCCGCGGTATTGAGCTGTAGGCGCCGACCTGCCTCCGACACAGTCAGTGTCGGCGAACGACCGGGAGTGACGCCGCACCTGGTCCCTTCGGACCGCACTCGTCCACCTTACCCGGGCCCGTCGGGCAGCGCGGGCCCCGCGACAAAGGGTCGGACCAACCCCGCCCAGGCCGGCGGCCGGAGGTCAGTCGCAGCCGCCCAGGAGAGGGGGGGGGGGGACTAGTGCCAGACTTGTCACAAGCAGTACGCAATAGATGCCAGATGTGAACACCAGAGCGCAGCCATGGTAGTTATGGCTGGCACAATCTGTAACTCTTTTGAGTTGTGAAAATGCCCAAGTTGCACCAAGGTTCCCGACCTCGGCAGTTGTGCGCTAGCCATCCCACCGCGTGCAGTTCGTGTTTGCTTGTCACCTGCGCGCAAGGTAGTTATATACCAATTTGCTGCTCTCGCCACGTCAAGTATCTTTCTACGTGCTTTGCAGGCGCGGCCAGGTGCGCCGGACAGTCCGTTGCTCACACCTCTTCAAAGAGCGTCCCACCCGCTCCCGCACGCGCTGCATGGGGTCGACGTTCATCACACGCCACCGAATTTAGCACCGCCATAACTTCGCCCTCGGAATCGCCGGAGCGGCGGGCCGGCGATTTTAACGACAGCCGCCAACCCAGCCGGAAATAAGCGCGTGGTGATCGGCGCGGGCGCGCGCGCCACTCGGCCGCGCGCCGCTGGCGCCTCGGGCCTTCTGTTTGTTCAACAGTGACCTGCCGTCAGGAGGCGGCGCGCGCGCCGGACGCCGCTGGATAAACACAGCGGTAGCCTGTCCGCTCCACGCAAACAGTTTACGTGCCACAGCCCCGGAATAGGTGGGAGGAACGGGGGCTCGCCACTCGGCGCGCCCAGCACGTCACCGCTGCACTGCTCAGCGCCGCTGACGTCTCCCGGCCTCCGGGTCTCACCGGTGAGAGTTGTTCCGCTCACTCAGCAGAGGCTGTGGACATGGTGGCCGAATGCCCTCTGCTGTTTCCCAGCATTACGTCTGAGCGCTCAATCACAGTCAAAGAGTTATCTTCACTCAGATATGAAGTACTAGACTAGCTGCTGCAGCCGGCAGTAGAACTGGAACGCCAATTTTGGGCACGTGGGGCTGCTGCTAACTCGTCCCGAAAAGACGCCGTTAGCGAGCCGTTACAGAAAAGGATTCTCAATCAACTGCCACCAGCAGCGGCGAGCCATTTTGGAAACACATCCGGCCAGAAACCTTTCCGAGCAAGCTTGGATTTTCTGTGCGAGTGAGTTCATGGCCGATTTCCATACGAGATCAAGAGTG